TCCTCCTCCTCCTCCTCCTCAGGCCCCAGGCTTCAGCCTGTTCTTTCCCAGCAAGGGATTCCTCCAGAAACTAATTCTTTAGAGTCCATTGTCTCAGGGTTCCTGTTTCAGTGCAGTCTTCTCTCTTCCTCGTTCATTCTTCAATCTTGAGGATTTGGGATGCTTTGTTATCTGTTGGTGGCTTGGTGTTAAACATTCTTGAAATTTGACTTGCGTGTGCCTGAAAGAAAGGTCTGCAGCGGAATGCAGCAGCCAGTTAGAAGGCCCTCAGTGTCAGGTCACCTTCATAAGAACCCCTTCTCTGTAACCTCTGGCCTTAGTGACTCTCAGAAGGCTTGACACTGGGGACTCCATTTTGACTGACAGTATGCCCCTTGCCTTGGAACAGTTTTTCTAGGAAGACATCACTGCTAAATCCTTGTGGTTTGCTTTTAATTCTCCCTCCTTGGTGTGATGAGGCTTTTGCCCTTTGATCTGATCTATGCTGGGGGATAAGGGGGTGGGAGAAGTATGGCCGGCAGGTAGGCAGGTAGGAAGACACAGTGTCAAAGGCCTCTTTTTTGGGGTCAAGCATAGCACTTTAGAAGGAAGTGGTTTTAGGCTGAGTTTTCCTGGGATCTCCTGAATTTTTGTCAATGCTGAGTCCCTCTTCAATCAAGATCAATTGATTTATTATAATTAAGGGTAGATGAGCCAGGTCTCACTAGCCCTGGCTGTCCTGGAACTTACTCTGTAGACCAAGCTAGCCTCAAAGCCATAGAGCTCTGCTTTCCTCCACCACCCAACTGTTGGTATTAAAGGATGTACCATCACACTCAGCTAAAGATCTACTGTGGTGTGTGTGTGTGTGTGTGTGTGTGTGTGTGTGTGTGTGTGTGTGTCTGTGTGTGAATTAGGCCAGAAAAGGGCATGGGATATCCAGGACTAGAGTTACAGGCAGTCATGAGGCACCAAATGTGGTTGCCAGGAAACCCACTTGGGTCCTCTAGAGGAGCAGCAGATGCAGTTAATAACTGCAGAGCTGTCTCTCCAGCCCCTTATCTCTCTTATTTGAAGGCTCAGCTGTAAGTATGGCCTCCTGGTGCTTATTAAATACACTGATTCCTAATAGAAAAAGGTTGCTTACCTTTTTGTAGCAGAGTATCAACAGACAACAGCTGAAAAAAAAATCAGAAAGACTTTATAAAACAAACCCAAAGAAAATGTAACAATTTACAAAAGAGTCTAGTTCTTTTCACTTAAGTAATTGGTCAGGACTTGCATGGTCAGTGTTTAATCCCTTTGGCTATTAGAGCTTGGGATGCACAGTGCTTGGCCATAGCCAAGTGTCCGTGCTACAAAGGTGATGATTAGAATTAGAAACATGCACATGCTGTGTATACAGTTGTAGCTGAAAACCATGAAAAATGAATACAATTTTAATGATAATTTTATCATGTGAAATAAATAAATATATATATATATATTGAAATATTTTTAACAGATGGATATGTTATATTACATTTCATATATCATAACATTTTTAAAAGAATTATTCACTTACTTTATGTATGTGAGTACACTGTAGCTGTCTTCAGACACACCAGAAGAGGGCATCAGATCCCATTACAGATGGTTGTGAGCCACCATGTGGTTACTGGGAATTGAACTCAGAACCTTTGGAAGAGCAGTCAGTGCTCTTAACTGCTGAGCCATCTCTCCAGCCCCCATAAGAACATTTTCTGCTACATATATATTATAAATACAAAATTGAGGGGGCTAGATGGGTAGCTCAGTGGTTAGGAACACTGGCTGCTCTTCCAGAGGATCTGGGTTCAATTTCCAGAACCAACATGGAAGGTCACAACTGTCTGTAATTCCATTTCCAGAAGATCCAACATCTTCTTCTGGCCTTCAAGGGCACTTCATGTGTATGTACAGACATACATGTTAGCAAAGACACATATATATATATATATATATATATATATATATATATATATATATATGTGTATGTGTGTGTGTGTGTGTGTGTGTATCTATATGTATCTATATGTATCTATCTCTGTCTCTATCTCTGTATCTCTTTGAATCTAAAGAGTATAGAGACTCCAAATCTAATGTTGCCTTTTTGTGAATAATACTTTTCATCTTAGTAATTTTTATTACTTTTATATTTAATTAGGTATCAAAATAATTAAACTCATCATTGTTGACAAAATGTATATATGTATTAGCAGTGAATGAGTATCGAGTAGCAACTTTACCATCTCAGTAGCAAGAATAGTCCATCTCAGCATGATAAAGTTTATGTAGATTTCAAATGGAGTAGTATCTAGAAGCCATGTAAAAATATCTTTCCATATAGAGCAGTGGTTCTCAATGTTTCTAATGCTGTGATCCTTTAATATAGCTCCTCCTAGTGTTGTAGTGACCCCAACCATAAATTATTTCATTGCTACTTCCTGACTGTAACTTTGCTATTGTTATGAATCGTAATATAAATATCTGATATGTGACCCCTATGAGAATGTCGTTTGACCCCCCCAAAGGGTTCTCAACCCAGAGGCTGAGACCTGCTGATAGAGAGCCACCCTTAATCTTCCTTTATTGTCTATTAAATTTATGTTTAAGTTTTCTCAGCAAAAAGTTTAGAACTTTGTCTCAACATTTAACAAAATATTTTAATAAAAGTATTAGTTACTTTTCTTTTTGGTAAGATCTAATAACAGTCCTTTTGCCTATTATATAGAGTAACAAAAGTTTGTCATGGGGCCGGGGATGTAGCTCAGTTGATAAAGTGTTTCCTTAGCAAACCTTGGGGTCAGTCCCTCATAAACTGTTGATGGTTATACATGCCTGTGATCCCGTCATATGAGAGAGGGAAGCAGGAGGATCAGAAGTTATGGTCATCCACAGATGCTTAGGGAGTGTAAGGCCAACCTGGACACAGGAGACCTTGTCTTAAAAAAAAAAAAAAAAAAAAAAGAAAAAAAAAAAGTGTACCTGGATGTTGAATGTTACTGTTTGTTGGGTTTGTCACTTTCTAGTCTCCGTCATGAGAAGGAAATTAAATATAAAGCTCTTTGATAAAAACATATTTACATATTTTTTATGTAAGACAGCCTTAATAAAAATCTCATATTTACTAATTATACATAAAAGAATATTATAGAAAAGAAACTTATAGCTACAATCTAACAAAAGTATTTAATGTACACCATTTATCTATTTTGAATTTATGTGTATTAAGATTTTTAAAAATCATGTAATTTTATGTGTGTGTTTGTGTGCATGCATAAGCCTGAGTATGTGTATGGCACCGCTTATGTGTAGGAGTCTGCCAAGGTCAGAAGAGGCACCAGATTTCCCGGAACTGTACTAACAGATGATTGTGAGCCACCATGTGTGTGCTGGGAACTGAACCTGGGTCCTCTGTAAGAACAGTGAGCACTTTTAACCACTGAGCCTTCTCTTCTGTACCCAGTGTTAAAATATTACATATGACAGCAAACTCATGCTTAGCCACCTCTATATCTAAAACAAATATCAAAAACTATACTTAGATTTTTGTATGTATTCATTTTTCTTTTTTTTCTTTCTTTTTTTTTTTTTTTTTGGTTTGGTTTTTGAGACAGAGTTTCTCCGTATAGCCCTGGCTGTCCTGGAACTCACTTTGTAGACCAGGCTGGCCACATTTTTCAAATATATTTAAAATCAGCAGCTTGATTAACAAAGCTTTGGTTTGGTTTGGTTTGGTTTGGTTTGGTTTGGTTTGGTTTGGTTTG